TGTGCGTGCCCATTGTTGGAATAAAGGGACCATTTTCCCGTACCAAGTCGGACTTCATTGAAGCTATGTCGGTTTCTATCAGTTTCAGTTCTCGATAAAAAGCGCGAGTAGGGAGAGAATCGCATAGATCACCATGCTTAATCAGTGTGGCATCGAAAATTTACCCCGGCTAAAAACGCTGGACGATTTTAGCCGGCGTTGCTCCTGCTCTTCGAGCGGGGTTCGGATTTGGGTTTTGCCGCAGGGGTAGGTGCGCAGAACGAACGCGGATCGATCCCCCTCGGCGCGAGTGCGAATGGGGGGTTGCGACCGAGTCGCCCTCTCCGTTGCTCGGTATCCTGGCGTGTTCATCCTCGAAAAAGGGAACATTTAAATGGTGCCACGTTGCCCAACATTGCCCACCGATATTCGAATACAATCGGCAAAAATCGTGGCGACGCCACGAGTATCGATATCGCAACGTCGAGATCGTTCGCGATGCCGATCTGAGAATATAATTTTGCGAGGAAAAAACCAAATTCAGACGCGAAAAATCGGCAGATCTGTTTTCCGTAAAGAAAAAATAACGAATTGTTATCGGCGCGATTCGCCGCGGGTCTCATTATCGGACGCATTTTATCAGACTTCGTACCGCTGTTATAACTCGAATGTAGGTTAGCGGCGGCGGATCCAAGAGAGAAGGGATGCCGAGTTTTCTTCGAAAAATCAATAGACATTTCTGCCCCTGGGTTTCACCTTGTCGCGCTAATAACGCCTGCCGTTAACTCGCTTTCGAAGATTCGTATCGCAAGCATTTGTATCGAAGGACCTAATATCTAAGCTCATGGGGGAAATCTCTATGCAGGATTTATTCGTAAATTTAATGATCGCGCGCGTAAAGGTAAGTCTTTCTTTCAATACAACGTGTCTGCGAACGTCTTGCAAACACAGCATATGAAACTTTCTCTTGGATAGAAAATTATTTTTTCTTCACTTTCTTCATTACTTTATATCACTCTTGCTAATGTGTATCGTATGCTATTTGAAAGCATACAAGTTCCGTTTGAAATTAAATAACAAATCAAATTTATTTATGTGACTTGTTGTACATTCCACTACAATTATCTATATCTCTCTCGATTTACGTAAAGAAATAATCAGTTCCAAATTAGCTAAAGAATTCGCAAATGAAGCCGTCGGGGGGTTGAGTTCGTAAACATCCCCGTAGTAGTCAAGGATTAACCGTAGAGCGTGTGCATCTCGCAGTAACTCGCTCCGCGATAGATTTCCAACGTAATTGTGGCGCAGCAACAATAGTGTCGCGTACGCGAATAAATTCGTCGCGCAGCCTTACGTACGCGTACACGCGATAATTCGCGGGTGGACTCTCGTCGATCATTGGTCGATCGTTGGTCGCGAATCGAAGTTGGGACGAGGTCGAGCGTGAAGAGATCCCGTTTACCTTCGCAAGTACGTTTCCACCTGGCTCGTACATACCTGAGGAACCTGTACAGTCACGCTCGCACGGTTTCTAGCGATCGCCGCTGTATCACCAACTATCTTATATCCGGATATTTGCTAGATGCACCTATTATTAAGTACGTGTGTGTAATATGTTGCAACTGGTACACCTAAATATACTAGTGTTATTCGTCTATCCGCGACATTTCTCCCAATATCCCTGATTCCAATTTCATCAACGATGAGTGAACGCGGCAAGTTATTCACACAATATGGTTTATGTAGAAATTAATGAAACTCAACCTTTAGACTTGTATCTATAATACACTTATATGAAAGTCTCCGTGAAATAATTCTTATCGAGAAATATTTATTGATTTTTTTTAAGCTTACTGAGAAAAATGCTCTGGTTGGATTAAATATTATATTATATGATTCTGGGATGGGGAAATGGACGAATTAGAATTTTCTGGTTATTTACTAGAATTCTAGTTGAGGTAACTAAAATTCTAAGATTGATAATTATTCTGATAAAGTAAGAATTCTGGTAGATTTTACTAAAATATTGTGTCATTTAGAATTCCAACTTATCTCAACTAGAATTCTAATAAATTTAATCAGAAAATTCTGATTCGTTTCTTTGCAATCAGAAATTTTTTTAGTGTATATATTGCATATAGTATATACATATATATATATATATATATATATGT